GTGGCACACTTAACATGCTGATGAAATTTGGGGAGCACTGTTTTTAAATCAGCATGATTTAGTACAAGACAGAAGACAAATAAAACAGCTATAACCTTTCATAATACTTCATCATACTTTTCTGTCTTTGTGAATCCTCCTTTTCTACCATGTCCCTACACCAATTCATACACTGCTTTTTGTTCTTCAAAATTCTAACCTTGCTTTTTAAGGATCTCATCAAGTCCAATCATTTCTTGATTTTCCTTTTCCTCTTGATTCATTCATTTTTCATTCACTAGTGTTGTAAATCAGTCCTCATTCATACAGGTAGTCCTTGATTAATGACTCTTTGTCCAGTGACTGTTTGAAGTTACGATGGTGCTGAACGAGTGGTAGTTACGACCGGTCCTTGAAGTTCTGGCTGTCCCAGCACCCCTATGGTCATGTGATCATGATCTGGGTGTTTGGTAACCGGCTTCCACTTATGATGGTTGCAGCATCCCACGGTCACGTGGTTCCCATTTGTGACTTTCCCTGCCAGCTTCCCTATTCTCTTCCCATGGGTGGGGGAGATTTACCCAAGTCACAAGTTGCTTGGCTAAGTCTCCTCCACCCGTGCACCCTCCCTGAGCCTCACTGCACTCATGCCATGTCTCCCTGACCACTCATGCACCCTTGCACACCCTCCCTTACCTGGCAGCAGCCCCACCAAGCCCCACCAAGCCTCACCCACACCTCCCCCACCACCTGCACACTCTTGCACACTCTGAGCCTCACTGAGCTCACATTGCATTTCCCTGGTCACTCGTGCATCCTCCCTGGCCACTCACGCACTCTTGCACACCCTCCCCCACCTGACAGCAGCTATCCCAAGCCCCGCCATGCTCACGCCACTCCTCCCCACCCACCTGCACACCCCCTCACTTCCTCTTCCACCTGGCAGCAACCACTTACCTGCCTGCCAGCCTGCTTGCAAGCCACCTGGGACTTGCAACTTCCTGCAACTGACTTTGGTTGTTGGAAGCTGGCAGGAAGTTGTGAGGAGATGTTCGCTTAACGACCCACGATCCTCACTTAACAATGGCAAGAGGGACTACCGTTGCTAAGTGATGTGGTCATGTGACATGCTTTACAACCGCATCGCTTAGCAATGGAAATTACGGTCCCAATTGCCATTGTAACTCGAGGGCTACCTGTAAACTACCTCTGTGAATTTCTGTGGTCTCCCATTTCTTTATGAAATGAAGTATAAGGTGTGTGTGTGTGTTTTTAAAAAAATCCCTGCAAGCATGTTGTACTAACTTTATAAATATATAGATCCAATTGTTTATGTTATTAATGACTGAAAATATGCTATTATGGAAACTTTATTTCTTTATTTCATTTATATCTTGCTACTCTGTTTCAGGACAGGCACGTTATCAAACTTAACAGCCCCCTGCAATGCCCATTGTAGATGTTTGCGTTCAGACTTTTTGCCCATCTGTGGTGCAGATGAAGTCCAGTATTTTTCTCCGTGTTATGCAGGATGTACTACTTTTGTTCTTCAGAAACATGAAGCAAAGGTATGACCATTTTATGTTATGAATGAGGATGCTCACTCTAAATTAGATTTAAGTTCTGTATGTTAAAAATACTTTAGCCACCTGCCTTGTTTAAAATGTATCATCAACAATCCACTGGACATTGGGGAAGACAATAGCCAAGTTTGACTAGTTGGAAAAGTAAAACAAAACAGGACAAACAAATAAACAAACAAACAAAAAGCCGTAACAAGGAAACATAGGAAAACAAATGAAATGATTTATCCTGAATGATGGCATGATTAGCTAGACTAAACCCTGAACAAGACCAATTATATTAGGAGCTGCAACATTTTATTACAGTTCTTACCTACTTTATTCTTAATTCCACTAGCAGAGAATAATATGTAGTTCAGGGTTGAATTGTTGGCTTTTTGGTGTTTTCTGAACTTGGTTGTTTTCCTGTAGCCTGGTAACAAAATGTCTGTAGGAAAACAACTAAGCTCAAAGAACACCAAGAACCTAATATATTCTTAATATTCTCCATTGAAGTAAATGCTTGAGAAGAGAAGAACAGCTATTTTGATTTTAAAGGAAAAATCCACATGTGGATATGGATTGTCATGCCTGGACCTTGGATGTGAGACCATTGGCTTATTTAAATGCCACGGAACTGGCTGAACATATCTTTTGATGTGAAGGTAGATCCATGATCATCAAATGTTCCATAATTACATTTAGAAATAGAACTCATAGGCCTACAAGAACATTTTTCTATGTACAACTGGCTGAATAGTTGATTATTCAATCTAGTTATACGTTGTGCGTGTGTATCTGTAATTTTTTTTAACAAATTAGTTTGCTATCGAATGAATTTTTGATTCATTTTGGACAAATTAGTTACTTATTTTGTTTATTCATATTTTTGAATGCACTATTTATAGCACTACAGCAACTGTTCCTGTGTTGGGCATCCCGTAGTTGAAATTGAGAATACCTTCCATGGGGCCACTTCTGGAAAATGTAAATCTAAGTGTACAGTCCTGCCTTGGTTCCTGAGCTTCTTCTTCTTCGCTGTTGTTTTCACATTTATGGCAGTTACACCAACAACTGTGGCCATTCTCAGGTAGTTATAATGCTGCTTTTATCTTATGATCCTAAAATGCAATACACGGCAATAGGACTTTTTTAAAAAAAATATGAACTTGCTTCTTCCCCCACTCCTTTCCAAATGGACCAAACTATTTACACAGTGCGGAAATGATTTCCATAACACGCAAATGAGAAAACCTGGGTCTGGATTTCTGGTGGCAACATGGTGCTAGGGCATTCTGGGATATTAAATTGGCAGGCCAGCACTGAAAGAAAGTGTTCAAGGGTGCAGGTATCAGCAGGAGACCTTCACAAAAGTACTGGGACATCCAGCTGTTTGAGACATTGAGCTGAATATATTCAAACAGGGTACTGATTTCTTATTACAGCTAAGAGTTGGAATGTAGCCATATGTCTTGCATGTTGCCTCTATGGTGATAATTCCCTTGAAGAAGACAGTTTTTCTTTTAACCCACTGAGATGCATATTTTGAGATAGAGTAGATGCACTGGTTTCCTTGTATTCAACAAATATTGGTTGAACAATTATAATGATGAATTTCGGCTTAGAGTTCTTGCTGGCAGCCTAAATAGTCAAAGCACCTCAGAGTAGACATCCATTTCTTACCAGAGTCATGGGAAAACAATATGTGTTGTACTGTTACAACACAACCCCTGCCCTGGCCAGCCCTTCTATACTTGTATCACAGTATCTTATGCAAGTTCATAATGGTCTAAGTTTGTGTCATGACATCATGGTGCACATTTTGTCCATTTTGATATTTCTAACTGTTTTATTCTTATTTTTTCCGGTCCTATTCATATATCACTTGGTGCCTGTGTCCGTGTGTTATTTTATAGAACTCTCATTTAATGTGAAAATTGTTTATTATTTTTAAAAAAGCATTTTTCCTTTTTCTGTATGAAGAAATGAAGAGAAATATGATTTCAAAGTGAAAATGAACAGAAG